TGAGCTACTCACGGCGCCTGCTAACGAGCAACGGCGTTTCATCCTGTTTCAGTTCCACGATGTTGCAGCTTCATTTGTGGCAAGTGGAACAGATACGCTGCGCCAAAGCTTCAACTGAACTTGTACTACTAACCCACTTAGAGTCGCGTTCAATCCACAGGATGCGTACCGTAATGCACGCCTAACTGCAGTCACGAGTCCACGCGACTCCTGTCGAGGACTGCAGGACTCGGCTCGGTGCCGAAGCTCTAGTCGAGCGTCGTCCTGAAAACGATTTGGCATTGGACTGGCGCCAGGTTCGAGCGTGTTCGATTGAACTTCGAGTGTCTTGCACACATGTTGCGCAACATTGTTGCTCAGTTGCTTGGGCACATGTTGCCCTAGCCGTGGCTACTTTATGGCTACAGTCTGTTATCGCATGTTTAGTAGAGCTTTGATAAGCATACGCAATTTATGTTATAAAAAGTTGAATAATGCTCATAAGACATATATTATTAGCCAGCTATTGATTAGCCTAGCCCGAGTAACCCGAAAATCCATTGATTTAATCTGACTGCCGATTCTCTGATAATGTTTTTAAAGTACAATATGTGAATCGAGCTGCACGCCGAGGCGGGACGCACCTTATCTGCTTATGCTCAACCTTCACCCAGAGACTTCTGGGCAAATAGCTTCAAGTATTTCTTATCGTCATGCCCCGTACCTGACAACTTTGAAAGGCGTGAATATAGTTTGAGCTAAATGAGATAAAAGTATTTATAATTTTGATTCATTGTTTATTCCTTTTTCTGTTAGCTGAAAAAAACACTACGTGTCCAAGCATGAGCACATTTCGATAACCGAGTTATGACGTCAAGTCATCTTAGTTGTAACGACCAGCCTGGACAATGAGACAATAACTGAAAGGAGATAAATTTGTACCTTTTCAGTGGTTGAAAGTATTTTTAAGATTCTCATGTCAGGTACATAAGATATTGCACATAAAGAGTTCAGTTCAAGTTCATTGTTCAATGTGGAGACATTGTTTATTAATATATTTATAGAAGATTTGCGAAATAGCAGCGCAATGTTTGCCATCAAATTGATGTAAGGTATTATTATTTATCCTATATTTTTTTATTAAATACTAGCTGGCCYGGCAAACGTTGCATTGCCCTCTATATTATTTCTAGGTATTTTGAATTTTTGAGTGTTCGCTAGAAAATGTCGTGATTCTAGTGTTTCGCCATAAAGCAGGGAACGCAATGGCTCTGGTGGCGAGACCACTAATGGCAATGTCACTTTACCACTAAGGCAGCACAAACCGGGCGTTTCACCAGCAAACTTCAATGCGCCACAATGCTGGCAAACAACGTCCATTGGACCAATGCAAACTAAACGATTCAAGCTATAGTCAATGGTGCAATCATATCGAAACGCTTCTCGATTCAAATCAATCCTTGAACCATTTCTTATTGCCATTTCACGGGCTGCCTCTCTTTGAGAAGCACGAATTANATTATAAAGAATTATGTTTTCATATATTTATAGAATGCACATTTTGTACCCATAGTTTCATTCACGTCAAATGCTGCTTTGTATTAAATTTGAAACCTTTACGAAATGGTTTTTTATTACTGCACTGTTCTATGTTGCACAGCGTTTAGCTCATTCAGTTTAATTTCAATTTTCTTATCACTGGGAAACATCTCAATGAGTGACCAAGAAATTTTAATTAAAAAATACTCAACTGCTCCGCAAAAAAAAGCAACTCTAAAAGTATGAAAAGTGAAGAAAATTTGTATCAGCTTCTGTAATAGACAAGGACACTATCAGTACACACCCATTTCCTGGCTGGCAAGAGCAAGCATCATCGGTTGCCTTTGGCCGGGTCGCACTTAGTGCTTATCTTGCGTTGACATACCTTGTCATTTGGCCTGTCTTCGTAAAAATATCAAATGTAATTTACTGCAACAGCAGAAAGGACCTGCATGCATAGGTGCAACATCTCTGCTTGTTGTTATTTACCTCCTGTTATTTTTTTTTTACTATTTTTTTTTTGTTTTTTGACAGGAGCAACTTCATTTGCATGAGAATTCAATTTGGAATTTGTTTTTAAATATACAATTTAAGTTTGATATATGTGATAGATATCCTTTTCCACACACTGAAAGCCTGGCGTAAGCCTCAACTAAAGAATTTTTGTATATAATCCACTTATAAAGTGTTTGCTTGTAATAAAATATGCTTAACACAGAAATTGTTGAAACGAAAATCGTTGCCCGTTTGATTGATGAAGGTCCAGACAGTCCTACACTTAAACTGTCATCGATCTATCTGGGTGTTGCCACGCCCAAGATAAGGTTAGCTTAAGCAAAAAATGCGGAAGACAAATAAATGAAATGAGGAAATAGACAACTGTTCCCAGCAATGCGTTGGTCCTGGAGCGGAACTCAATATATCATAAATTAAAAGAAATAAATAATTTTTAAGTAGTTCCTCTTAATTGTTTACCATGTACATCGTTCCTATGGTCGCCCTCTGTTAGCCTGGTACATGGCAAGCGAACTAGGGCAAGCTAATTTATTTGCATAATTTAGTTGTTTACAATTTGGGTCGAGCGCAACAAGAACTAGCGAGGCAGAGCATTGTGATTGACATAAATGAAGTTACGACTTTTTGCAGCAAGACGTTCCAAGGAAAATCGACTAAACGCAGCGTTAACTACGGAGCTGAGCAGAAGTTGAAATGAGACAATTTATAATATTCAATTTATATGCATTTTTTTCTTCTCTTTCTTTCTATTTTTCGCTCTCTCTCTGTTACCCTCTAGACACCAGCGGAAAAATGAGATAAGCAACAATAATAACAACAATTGCAGCTGCTAAGTTGATAATTTCACAGCTACAAGCACACACACACACACACACACACATACATATATAGGACATAGGCAGCGGACGCTGTTCAGCTGCGTTCATTGCAAAATAAAATCTTGGCTGTGATTAATGCGATTTGTCACTTGGTTCATTTGTATTTTCCAAGCTGTTGACTTGCCTCCATGTTGCGCCTGGCCCTCAAGCAAACGACATACATATATATGTAAATTCATATATATATATACCATTTCATAAATACTAAGAGGCTGCAACTGCAGGCCCTGAGAAGTATGCTATATTTATTTTCTGTATGCATGCCCTGAGATGTATGCTACACTTTTCGCATCTCAATTTGAAACAACAAGGATGTGATCCATTTGACGACTGACTGGAGCTGAGCCTGGCAGATTTTACTGTGGGCTAGAATAACGAAGTGTAGGCATTAAATTTGACCCGGCCAATAATTCATTTGTTAAGCCCGCACGCACCCTGTTAAGATAATCATGGGCGAAGGACAGCGCTGCGTTTATTTTATTTTATGTTATTTTATTTACATTTTCATTCTGACTTCCATTTGGTTTTTAGTAAATTTTAAACGCTGCACTTTGGGCTAGCCGAGTGAATTATGGCGGGCAATAAATTTCTATGACATATAAATGTAAATAATTGAGTAGCACAGTAGCACAGCTACAGCTCAGCCGCCACTTCTCGTCTGGAGCAGCGCCGTCAGCTGGGGAGCTCCGTTTGCCTTTGTCTCCCATTACCATCTCGCATTTTGCCAGCCAAGGATGAGGCCTGTCCTTTATCGTGTGATGAATGCTCACCCGCTTCAGCCCATTTTATGAGCACTTTGGGCATGCACAAACATTTAATTTCAAAACTTTTTCCTACTTTTTATTGTCGGGGCGCCGTCGACACTTTATGCCCGCAAATTATATCACTTTGTTCTAGCAATTATATTTATTTACGGAGATAGGCTTAGGCCAATATGTGAGCACTTGTCATCGTATATTTAGGTATGTTTTGAATTTGGCAATTTAACAATGGAAAAAAAAGGAGGTATCACTGATAACAAGATAATATATATGATTTTTTTTTTTATTTATTTATTTACTAGCTGGCCCGGCAAACGTTGCATTGCCCTCTATATTATTTCTAGGTAAAAAATTGTTGAAAGCTATGTTGTTCAGGCTGGGATACACTGATAAATTTATTAATCGGATTTTCATTCAAGCACCTTGTTGTAAACGACATTCTTCGTTTTTTGGTCGGGTGCAAGAACAAATAATGCGGATCGTTTGCCAACACGTGAGCATGCCACGTNTTTTTTTATATATATTTATTAAGTGTAGAACCGGTACATCAAAAATAGAACCATAACAACACAGGGAAGGTAAATTAATAATGGAGACGAACCCCATACCGAGTTATGGGGATTTTAAGTTGTGGAGGTTTTACTATTGTCCAATAGTTTTGGCAAAGCCTTGTGCAAACGGCTCTTAGTAAATTTCCTAAATAACTTGTAGATAGAATGGAGATAAAAGAAGTCAGGATAAGCTAAAAAAAAAAAATGAAATGTAAAAGAAATTTTAGTCCAAATTGATATGATGGAAAAGAAAACAGAACTAAAGTCAAGAGAACATGAAAAATGCGACAAATGAACATGGGAAAATATTACAATCTTTCTAGATTAGACTTTGCGCTGATTTTTAAAGCTCCTTTCTACAGCGAAAAGCTGCACATTAGCATAGCCGAGTTTTAAAGCTCATCATAAGTTTTTCTATATTTATATTTCTAGAGACAACCATTTAAAGGGTGATTCATTAGCTCGTGTATCATAAGCTAAATTCATGTTTAAAACAATTATTATAGTCAGGTTAAATACAATTTATTAGAAAACAGGTGCAGCGAGGTTAAAATGAGGAAAAGCAAGGTAGGTCATGAAAATTGTCTGAATATCAAATTGGTTTTATACAAACTTTCATCACCTTTTAATCCCAATTTAGATCACAAGCTCTTTATATGTTTATGTTTGCTGCTGATCAATCAATCAATCAGTCAGTAATTTTTTATTAATAAGGAACAATTTATTCATATATATAGTTTTAAATACTATTTATGTTTATGATCTTACACTTATCCTGTTAGAATTAGACGGTCAGCGGCATGATGGGCAAAGGATTCGTCATATCCATTTTGAGTCTCTTGATTACCTCTTGCAATCGATCGTGGCTTTTCAGTCCCAACGACTGGAAAGGGCGTCTATCAAACAAATTTATTCTGTGGAGAGGAAAGTTAATGCATATTAGACCTTATAGACTTATGAAGAGCCCTGCCCAGACGCACCTTCTGCCCGAAATATTCACGAGAAATTTATAGTAGCTGTTCCGTATCGAGCTTGCCTCCAGAATGGCGCAGTGGAAGAGCACAGCTGTGAAGCTCGCATATAACACCATATTGAAGTGGGGTACCTTTGGCAGTACATTCTCCTCGCTGCCCCAGTTATAGAGCATCTGCAGTGCTTTCCACATCACATACAGCGAGATCGTGATGTTGGGGTACTGCAGCAGTCCAATAGAGCCCAATAGTCCGGCGGGAATGGCAAAGTAGGCGGCGTCATAGCCACAAGCGTTGCGCAGGCCACACGAAACGGCCTACCAAGATATATAATATAATGTTATAATTAAAAACATTACTTATGAAAACTAAACATTATTAAACAAAACATGATAAAAATATATATACTGAAAATAAAAAATTAATATGGTAAAATCTAAAGAAGTAATAAAGCTCTAGTCGTGAGTCATCGAAGAATAGATACCCAGAAACACCTTCGATCGATGTTATGATACTATGCAATATCTTGTATCTAATATAAATGTACATTCATAAAACAAACCCAATTACACTTCTATATATTCTATATATGTATATATATGCAATAGCTTAAAAAGTTAATTTATAATATCTACTAATATAAATCATTTTTGAACAAATCTCCATGAATAATTTAAACTCGCACCTTAATCAATAAGTAATTTTGATAACGACTTAAAGTTGTATGTGAATAAGAAATCGAGATTACGTCATCACCGAAACGAAAGTAGGGGCTGATAACTCACCACACTCTTATATAGAGAGAAAATGCTTTCGTTTTATACTGATTACCTTGTGAATGTTCAAGGCTTCGTAGCCTTGGATCTTCATATTGCATTAGGTATGTACATATGTATCATATCTGCTATATTTTCAACTGAACTTACATTTGAAAACATTGCGGTGTTTGTAGCCGCAACCCAAATTATAGTACAGAATTATATAAAAAATATCGACAGTGAGTTTAGTAGATTGCAATGACACCGTAAAAGCTATCAATTATTATCCGATCAGAGCCACAAATAACCTGTAAGAAAGCTCTAGTTAAGACGGCTCGACTACGAGATCCACTGAACCCCTCAAGCAATTCATATTTAAAATATTACACACGCACACACAGGCATACCACGCACGCATAAACACGATTTGGCTGAAGTGTGGGACTACTACTACTTACTTGTTTGATAACTTTTCTTGTAAATGGATTATCTTCAAGAAACTTTGCGATCGAGATTATAACATTGAATTGAATACATGCATTTGCCAAAGCTCAAGTCTCTAGTATTTGAAAAAGGCTGTTTTGTATTCGAATACTTAGACAAAAAAATAAAAATAAATAAAAATAAAAATAAAATCACATAGGCATGCATGCAAAAACACGCATGAGCTAAACTTAGGGCTTACTATGGGAACTTAATTGTTAGACAAGCCTATAATGTTACAGTTCCCATTTTCAATGTTGATATGAAAATAAGAATACAAACGCCAAGAAAAATAACAATAAATGTCTGTTTGTTCATTTACCTTAATTTGTAATTGGTTCATTTACCTTAAATATAAGGGAGAAGCTGCCCAAGGCTAGGCCAAGTTGCAAAGAGTTTCTGTTGAAGATCTGTTTGCGCCAGTCCATTTTCAGCTTGACTATCCGGCCTATGTTCAGCAGCAGCTTAAGCCCCACTTGGAGTCCAACCCCGCCCAGCAGCGGCTTCAGGCCGCCAAGCAGCACGTAGGTGCCGCAACCCTCCCGGTGTGGACAGCTGGGATGCTTTCTATTGCGTAGACGATCATAGAGCTGCACATAGGCGGATATGCTGCGGAGGTTGAGCGGAGGCCGGCTCGAGGTTTGTTTTGGTACCACCTCTGTTGGCTTTATTGGACCCTCCTCTCCTTTTGCCATGAGTACTGCGAGAGCCTTGAACGTGACATCTTTCACTTTGCTCTTGTGTACGCCTCGGCGGTACATGTAGAGCAAGGCTGTCAGGCTGCAGCCCAGTATTAAGACCTGTCCATTGGGTATGGAACGGACGAGGCCATGAGCTTCCAACATATTCCAGAGCGCTTCGGTGCCCTCGTTGGCCACGTATAGTGCCAGTGGAGTACGGCGTGCCGGTCGCTCAATGCAGAGCGCCGCAAAACTGGCAATGAACGTAGGAATAAACGCCACAGTGCTCAGGTGGAACCCGCCCACTAGGCGACGCACTACGCACACCATCAGCGAGAAGAGATACGCATTGGTAGTGAGAAAGGCCGACGATGTCAAAATGCCAATAATCGTGTGCTTAATGTCCAATAAACGGGGGATACGCATTTTCATCACCAGTGCAAGCTATGAATTTAGTAGGAAAAGAGAAAAAAACGGAAGAAAAAATAAAATGAAGTAGGAAAAGAACATTGAAAATAGAGCAGGGCAATGACAATGACAATGACAATTAGAATAAGAATCTCTATTGTTGAGAATAAGTTAGGTTTACTATGACTTACTAGATAGACAATGCAGTAGGTGCGCATAGAGCTGGGTGCGCTGGATAAAAGAATTCCGGCTGCGCCGTTGACGCAGCTAGCGGTCCACGGGTGGATATACTCCTGGCAGCTGCATTTGATCAGTTTGCTCTGCACGGCCATAATTTGTATGTGTGCGTGTTAGATAGGTGTTTCGATTTAATATTAAAATCAATTACGATTATCGCACAATTGATAAGATTAAGAAATAAAGCACGCGTCGCGCACAAAGTTCGAATGCAAACGTTATGTTGAAATCGAAAGTTTGCTTGCTAAACAAATATTTAAATATATGTTCGACTGAGTCTCAAATTAACTTTCACTACCCGATTAACAAGTTTGATATCTTCTGTACTCCAGACAGCTACGCGCTCCAGCTATGACTGCATGCTCGCCGGCCACCTATTAAACACGACTCATTTCGGAACATTCCATATTGGCCCTTATCAGATATAGTTAAACAAACGATTGGACGCCAAGAGAACAGACGTTCTTATCAGCCCTAACATTGTGACATTTTATCAATTATTTATTCTCTTTGCGGCTCTCTTAAATATAAATAGAATGAAAGTTCGACTGGGTCAACTCGCACTTTAAATACCCTCAACAAATAGTCTTTAAGAGAGAACAATAGAAGAGTTGAATAAAAAGATAACGAAAATAAAACAGAAAGTCAAATAAGAGGAAATGGTTGGAAAACAAAGGGGAAGATAACAGAGCAAAAGAGTAGAGTTAACAACATTAACATATATATTTGCCATGATTAAATAATAACACCCATTACGCAGAAAGAGTTATAAGTCAACAAGCGTTTGTTTACTTTATTAAGAGCTGATACCAAAAGAATAAAGAGATAATTTGTCAATATTCCCCACTTTGAGTGACCACCAGGCCTATTGACACTATATACGAGCACGCCCAGAATGAGCGTTATATAGTGAAATCGATCGACTTACATACTAACATATACTATTCATGTACAATGATAAAATATCATTTTGGAGAGACGAATCGAATGTTGAATGTGCGCACTTCAAGTGCTGAGGGTTATTGTAAGAAATGTTGGGTAGGCACGCCTTAGTTCGACTTCAAACGTGGCTACACTCAGGAGGCAAACGAAAATGCTGGCAGTGTCTGCTTGTCGACGATTTTTAGGCTCTTTAGCATTTCGTTTGTTTGCTGCTGCGTGTTGAGGCCGAAGACGTCAAAGGCGTTCAAATTGAATTTGTTGAGCCTGTCATAAGAGATATAAATATATGTATATAAGAAAAGATATGTAAAGTGATTCACAGGTCTGAGCTTGCCTCTCGCCTGATATGGCCTGCAAGAATTTGTAGTAATTGGGTCGCAGCGATTGTGCCTCCACGATGCCCGCATGGAAGAGCACAGCCGTGAAGAAGGCATAAGTATAGAGCATAAAATTAGGAATACGCGGAAGAATGCCTCGTTCTTGGCCCATGCTGCAAAGTATCTAAAAAAAAAAAAAAAAAACGATAATTGAGATTGGGTAAATAATCATGAGAATATCAAAACTCACTTGGATGGCCTTCCACATGACATACAAGGCGACCGTATTATCTGGATACTGGGTAAATGCCACTGAGGCCACCAAACCCGCTGGTATTGCGAACACCGCATCGTCCCGATTGAAGCTGTGGCGCAACAGGCAGGACATGGACTGAAGAAACCAAGCCGAATATGTGAAATATATATATCCAATATGAGCAATGCCTTACCTTGTATAGAAACGAAAACGTGCCCATGAAGATGCCAAGTTGCAAGGTGCTTCGATTGAAGATTTGCTTGCGCCATGGCATGCTTCCTCGGAATATGTTTTTGATATTCATCGCCAGCTTCAACGCTACCTGCAGAGCCAAACCGCCAGCAAAGGGACGCAGGCCACCTAAGATGGCATAGCTGGGACAGCTTTGCTTATGGCGACAGCTGGCATGCTTGGCATGGATCAGATTGCTGTAGACGCGCACCCAGTCGGCGGTGGTGGCAAAGCTGACACTGGGTCGTCGTCGAGAGGGTGCTGGCTGGTCGCCCGTCGCCAAAGGCTCAGGTTTGACCACGGGCCCGGCTTCCTCTTTGCCCACAAAGATGCGCAAAATATTGAAGATGGAGTCGTCGTTGGCGCTCAGACGATACAGATATAGAAGCGCTGCCATGCTGCCGCCAAAGATGAACGTCTGGCCATGTGCTATGGAACGCACCCAGCTGCGAGCCTCGGCCATTTTCCAAAGCGCTTCGGTGGCCACATTGGCCACGTAGAGCGTCAGCAGTGGACGTCGGGCCGGGCGCTCGACCAGAATAGCTGTCAGTGAGGACAGAAACGAGGGAACAAAGGCTACAGTGCTGAAATGGTAGCGACCCAGCAGATTGCGCAGCAAGCAATTGTAGAGTATAAAGGTGTACGCATTGGTGACCAGGAAGGCTGTTGATTGGATGATCCCCAGCAGAGTGCGCTTCAGATCCTGCAAAGTTGGCACTCGGTGTCGCATGAGTAGCGAAAAGGCGTATACAATTGTGTAGACACGCAAGCAGTAGGGCGTGGCAGATAGGAGGATGCCTGCGGTGGCGTTGACGCACTTATCCGTCCAGGGGTGCTGGAACTCCTGGCATGTAATGCACAACGGATCTAGCAGTTTACTCTGTATTGCCATTATGGGTGCTGCATTAACAACGATTAATGGATTAATGACGGTTAAGTTGTTCGTTAGCGGAAAACGAACCAAGGCGAAGGCCACAAGTCCGAAGATTGGCCTATAATCTTATCTATTGAAGTACTTTTTTTGCACTTCTGGATTTAAACTTTATCACGACCACACACAAAACGTTAACTACTAAATTTAGCTGGTTTACAAGCAAAATGATACTGTTGACCTATCAATGCGCGGGTCAAGCAAAAGGCTGATAAAAGCAGATTTCCACTTTATTCTGTCTGACTTTGACGTACTTGTTGTACTTAAAAACCGATTTGTGAAAGCAGTTGTTGCTTAACTACAGCTGCGTGTTGGATATTAAATGACAATAGCCAGTTGCTTTTGGACTTCAAACGGAGAAATAATCGAGAATGAATTGTGCGTCAAATGCACTGAAATGTGCTGAAACGCTAACTGCGTTCCATTTACATGTAAACAAAACAATTGAAACAGCTGTCTCTAGTGTGACCGTAGCTAGCTTTTGATACATAACCGCCCGATGAGGTGGACAAAAATGTAACCTTTGAACTTTGATACGGCGAGAGTTACATGAGACTATAGCTTGTGCTTTTGCGGCATTCATATATATATCTATCCTTTCGTTTTTAAATTGTATTTTTTCGATTATAATAAGTGTGTAAAAATAACGTACCTACTGATTGCCTGTTGAATTTGTTAGCGCTATATTCAAATATCGATATGTTACTGGCACAGGTATCGATATATGCTGTTTGTTATTGCACTGGTGTGTCGTATCAGTTAGCTTTCAAAGTATAACAATTTTATCCGTGTTTAAATTTTGGTACAATAAGCATTGAATATTTTGTTTACAGATTACTGTTAATTATAGTATAATAATTGTTTTTTTGACGTTATTTTTATTTATTTATTTTTAATATTTGTACTCCAAGATAACTTTGTCAGTTCGTTACACATTGAACAGGTCATACATATGTACATGTAAGTGTTTTCTATATTTTATTGGAATTCAGAAAATAATTAAATAGAAGAATGGTACACTCTTCATGTTAGTGTCTTGTCCAGATGCCCTACTCGACGCACTTGACAATGCGTAGGGAATAACCAAATATTATTATACTGAGATGGTTGGGTTGTTGTGTTGCGGCTCATCTGACGGGTATAACGCGACATAGCTGACAAAGCTGAAGTTCTTAAGTAATTGTATTCGAGAAATATGAACGAGTAGATGCTCTGGCTTGTCCTTGTTGGGTATTGCGGTGTCTTTTGTGTGATTTCCGCTCTTGCGGCTTAGACAGCCAATTGCCATGGTCCAGAGTCCCACATCGTGTAGGGGGAATCACTTCATGCATATCTTCATTGGATGGCAGCTACTTACCTAATTTACTCGAGGTGATATACTGCACTGTCTGAATAAATCTTTGCGTTTGACATGCCACTTGACGCTAAATACACACTTCAATCTGAAAGCGATGAAGGTGAAAGGAAACTGCAGGGACTGTGGGATGGGAATTGGGAGTTTCTCAGGTCTTGGCGAGCGGATGGGCGTAGCAGATGCGAACGTAACTTTCAGTCGGCGACGGATTTAATTAGCCAACAGTTAAGTCCTAATTGCCATTTGACTAAAACAGAAGACTGCCTATTTGCTTAGTGATGCACGCCGAAAATATTCGTAATATTAGCCTGAACACACCGTGAAGAGAAAGCTTTATGGATGTGTAAGCGTAGAAGAGTGATACAAGGTTAACTTGCAACTAGTGTTGCAAGTAAACAAAAAGTATGAATACTATGTCTCGCCTAATTTAAAAGATAATATGCACTGCTATCAATATATTATATATATACTCGTATATATATATTTTAGCTGTGAAGCTATAAAAACGTGTTTAATAAAATATACAAATAATTAAAAAGTAACAAATGATAAAAAAAATGGGTACTACCAATTAGACAAATCATTAAATATAAAATAAAATATGCTAAATATAATATATTAATATACATACGTATATTCTTTGATAGCTATCAGGCAGAGGTCTGTGCGCATTTAAGCTACTTTTTAATTTATTTAAAAGATTTTCAGTTGAATTTAAATAAACTTTAACATATTTATATCACACAAGCCATATATAGCCAAGCGCACCAGGAGGTAAACAAACGCTATAGATCTATAGAAACCGCCATTGCTTTGGAGCAATTATTATAAAAATCCATAAAATTTTAAAAACTTTAAGCAAATCAAAGGCCAAGTAAGATTGCTGCAAACGGCCATTATCGAATTCAGAATACTCATTCACGGCCCAAACGCTGCCAGATCCATTTTTAGATTTGCCACGCCCCCAGTAGGAGTAAGAAATTTACAATTTGGGTATACATTTGCATTTGTGCCAAGTTTTTTATCTCTAGTTTCAATAGCGGACATTGCACAAAACCAATATGCTCAAATCACTTTTGTGAAAGAGTATACAAATAAAAAATAACAACTTTGGAAATCAATATATGTATGTATATCACAAAAAAATTTGCCTGCAAGCGAATTAAAAAATTCTTTGACTATAAAATAAATAGAATTTTATCAAAATTCTTTAAAAGAGAGA